GGAGCCACCGCAGCGGCATCCAGCCCGGGACTCGCCGGGGACCCCACGCGTGAATCACAGCAAGGAAGGGGTTGGAAGGGACCTCTGTGGGTCGCACAGTCCAACCAGCCGATGCAGGGTCACCCAGAGCAGGCTGCACAGGACTGCGTCCAGGCAGGGCTTGAATATCTCCAGAGAAGGAGACTCCACAACCTCCCTGGGCAGCCTGTTCCAGGGCTGGGACTTCCTCTCCTTCAGTTTGTGCCCGTTGCCCCTTGTCCTGTCGCTGGGCACCACTGAAAAAAGTCTGGCCCCATCCTCTTGACACCCACCCTTAAGGTATTTGTAGGCATCCACAGGTCTCCTCTCAGCCTTCTCTTCTCCAGGCTGAACAAGCCCAGCTCCCTCAGCCTTTCCTCATAGGACAGATGCTCCTGTCCCCTCATCATCTTTGATGTGAAAACGCCTCCCAATTAACAAATCAGTCAAAGAGGCCATGACACAGGAGAGGTAAAGCCTTAGTGCAAGCCTCTGGCACCCTGGATGTCTCCCAGCTGCAGCACCTGCAGCACGTTCTTGCCTCAGCAGCACGTTCTTGCTTCAGCGCAGAGCTGTCCCCATGCCCAGCCATGGCAGCCGGCCTGGAGCTGCCTTGCTGGCACTGGGATGGGAGAGCGCTGTTGGAGCTGCCCTTACTTGCAGAGCAGGGTCGCGGTCCCTGGGTTCGGCCTCTTCCTTCATCTGTAGGTGGACGCAGTCAGCTGTTTCTCAGCGTGACACAAAGGGACACGCAATCGGTGTTCCAGGGTGTGGAGGAAGCGGTAAACCTGGTAGTTCACAGGGATAACCAGGATTCACAGGTTCCTCTTGCAAGTTGCCTGGCTGCGTGACCTAGGTCAAGCACCATTTCATAGTTTTGAGATCTGTAGCTGGGGCACAAGAAAAACATAGCATTTAACCTCACCTGTCCGAGTATTTTTGCCGAACATCATAGCACACAGGCAAGCATATTAAACCATGGTGTGTTAGATAAAGCAGCCTGGCCCCCAGGGAGGAGAACTGTAGACCTCTCCTTGCATCAGATCTCTAGTACAAAATTTATGAGATCTGCGAACTCTCCCTATATCAATGCTCTCAAGGAAAGCTTTAGGCAGTTTGCAGAGTTCAGGTCAGTAGGAGACTTGGGAAGGGAGAATTCTTACCTGTTTGCTTCTGCTTTTGGAGACGTAGTTCTCATGATGGGATAAGTTCTTAGGCTTCTGGGGGAAGCAAACTTGTAAACCTTAGGGAGAAAGTGTATTTCAGGAGAAAAAAAATGCTTAGAAAGTTATTTGGATCAAAATGACAATAAAAGCAATGATTTTTAGTCGTATTTTCCTATGCTACGATCCCCCTGAAACCTAGTCCTTTGGTTGACCAGCGAGATGAGGATACTTACTTGTAATTTCAATTTTTAAAGGACCATCCTTCCAAAGTTGCACTTTCTGATCACAGATGATCAGAGGCAGACCTCAGTCCTTTTTTTTTGTCTGTGTTTATCACCACTGTCTTTCAGGTTTTGTACTTTCTCAGCCCCCATTCTCCACTCCTGCTCCTATCACCAATATCACAAGCGCTGTAAACCAGCACCTCTTTCCATGGAAATTCTGATATCACAGGGAAAATGTTGCCCTTTGCTACAGCTGCCTACAAACAGTTCGTGGATGTTGCAATTGGCTGACAACGCCAAGTTGTTCCACACAAGTGGTGTGAATGAAAGCTGGTTTCGTGGGTGCTCGAGTCCGTTCTGCTCCTTAAAGCCATCACTAAAAACTGCACCGTTGTGCCGTTGCTGTATGATCCTTCTGTCTTACAAGGGATGGTGTAGCTGGCAACCTGGGGCTCGCTGTGCAGAATGCACAGCAGTGGAGTCCTGCCTACATTTTCCTCAGTGATGACACTCATTTGGGTATCTGTCCACCCAGGTTCTGATTTTCATTAAGCCTGTAGAAATGCAGTTACCACTGAGGGATGTATTTTGTATTCTATTTTATCACGCTGCGGAGATGTGAGTTTGTTCCCTTCCTCGGCAGTGGAGATCAGCTTTCTGCCTTTGTTCATGCTTTTGCCTGATACCAGGCCTGGTATAATCTGCCCATCTCCAGTGCTTGGGAACAGGTCAGCTGCTGGAGAGGCAGAAAAAGCCAGAGTATATTGTAAACCCTGTTTCATACGGTATTGTTGCCTTTTGCATGTTTGACAAGATTTCTTCCTTAGACAGTGTGCGTAGCGTTTCCCTGCAGATGATTTGAGATACAAGCCCCTGATGGTGAGGATTTGGGGTGGAGGACATCACTGTGGCTGAGAAGAGAGGAAGGTTTATTTTCCTCTCTCAAGGTTTTCCATTTCCAGCTCCTGTATCATTGTTCAAAGACACAGACTGTATGGATGAGACACAGTTGGCAGTTTTCTCTTCCTCGTCCTGACAACCTCTGGCTGCAAAATTAAAAGCCAGTTACTGAGTCTGGTTTCTAACAGCTTTGCCCTTGCCAAGGATTAGACAGAGAAACCTGGAATAGGTGGCTGTGGCCAGGCACTGTACGTGCTGAAACGCAGATGGAATTACCATGGGGACCGTTGCAGAGGAGGAGGGTGAGCCTGTGTATTCACACACTCCCACTGCCCCTGCTGTCCACTCACGTGCACACACATGCGATTGCTAGCCACGAAATTATTGAACTCTGGCCATTTTAACTGACTACAGTTGCAGTGTTCTAGCAACAGTGCTAGGTTTCTTGATAGACTAGGCCACAAAGCATTGAACAGGGACTACGATTTTCCATTGCCTGTGTGTTTTGGGTTTGGGAATAGGGTAAGGAGTTCAATGTGTTTGGGAAAAAACAGGTGTCAAAACTGTAATAGTAAATTGCAAGCTGTATCAGTAATTTGGGAGTGGTGTCTGGGAGCAGAAGCTGCCTGGGATGGTTATGAAATTGCAGATAATGCTCTCGGCATAAAGGCTCAGATGTCCATCTAAGGACGGTGAATGGAGACTTGAACTCTCAGTGCTTCAGGATGTCCCTCCTTACTAGTTCTGCAGAGCTCAGTCCTGGGGAAGGATTTGGGGCAGAGAAAGAGAGACAAATCTCCTCTTCTGAAATGAGGAATGAGGGTAGTGTGAAAGTAAGTCTGGGTTAACCCCAAGAGGAGATTATACAAAGCTCAGTAGGTATGCAAGTGTTCCTTTCTCTGAATGGAATTTTCCCTCTGTAAGTCCAACCTATTTATAAATAAAAAAGGTTAAAAAGATTGCTCTTCTAATATTAATGTAGGAGGAGCTCACTAGGACTCTTGCTATGCTATCACACAATAAAGGGAAACCATTGCAGGGCCTTACTGAAGTTGCATTTTGAATTTTGTTATCCAGCCTAGCGCACTCAAAATGGGTGTCTGAGAGATGTGTATTTTTTGCCAGGTAAAGTAACATCAGTGCTAGGTTTCATCACCAGGAAAGGCTTTCTGCTGTGGAAATGGGGTTACAGCAGGTGGAGAAGACTGTGAATGGGGCATGCTTCTGTTCCAGAAATTCTGTGTCCCTGTAAAATGCTGCTGAAGCTAGAGTTGATATCAAGGCAGCCGTAGCTTGTGCAGCGTGAAAAACAGCTGCTCCTGGGTAGGAGCTGTAGGAGCTGCCTCCCTTTCTCCCTGCACTGGGACCTCCAGCAGTACAGACCCAAATCTGGTTTGCTGTTATTAGCAGGTGAGCTTTTTCCCTGGTGTGTTTGCAACCTAGATATTGCCCTGATACATCTGTGCATGAGAATTTTTATGTGTGATTTAGTACGAGCTGACTGTAAACCAAGGTGAATCCGGCAGCAGTGTCAATGAGACTAAATTTGCTCTTCTCTATTAGGAGCATACAAGCGATGCTCCCTGGCTTTGAGCTGAGTTTTCCTACTTTTTGTAGGGTTGTATCATTTTGCAGAAGCTCGGATTCAGCTCCTTTCACATGGTAGGATGGAGCTGTGTTCAGGAATGCAGCCCTAGTCGTCTGCACTGTGGTGGCAACTATAGGGCAGCGCAGAAACCTCTGAAGTATAGCAAATGTGTGCGTGGGAGTTTGGTCCGTTTGGTGTCACCCGTTCCAAGCTCGCTGTTTAATCTTTGCATCAAACTTTGAAACAGTTAATGCAGTATTCAGCATGTGTTTGGATGGATCGGGGTCAGCGCTGCAGTGAGCTTTCTTTGGCAGCCAGAGGAAGTGCCAGAGTTTTTAGATCCTGTAGATTTACAGAACGAACAGCTTGGCTACACAGGTGGCAAATTACTGAAAGGGTTGAGAAGTCGGACGACTGTTCCCCAGCCCATAATTCTCTCCTGAAGAATGTGCACCATGCACCCAGCCTGCTAACCTTTCAGAGGATCCAGAGCCCTGGAAGAAAACATATATTCCCTGCACGTTTGCCATGCATGCTGGGCCACAGATTATCCATGGAACATATGCAGTATATATGACACACTTTCTGAATCGGCCTAACTCAGACT